AAACTTTTTTTGATATTTTCAACATATAATCCAAAAATCGTATTTTGACGTAGTTTTAAATTTTTTTCACCCCTTTCCCGGTGGTTGAGAACTTTTTTATTTTGCCCACAGTTTTGTACGCATTTTTCTGATAGTTTCCATACTTTTTCAGCCGTATAGCCCAAAAACACGATTTCAGGGCTATTTTGACTGGACTACAAGCTCGTACGGTTTATATGATTCGACGAACAAAACCAAAAGCTTCGAAATAATTCTTTATTGAATCATTAATGACGATTAATTGTTTTGACTACTTTCAATTGTCTCGTGTTATTTATTTCAATTGATTTCAATTGATTTCAATTGATCTCTAATTAATGTTTCTACGTAATCTACATATTTGATTAATGAATAAGTTTCTTAGTAGATAGATAGATAATTAGATACATTTCACTGCTTCCCCGAAGGGTTACACTCCTTTTACAATTATATTCTTAACCTAGCTTAACACTACCCTCTCCCTCACTTCTCCTTTCCTCTCTTCCCCCTACACCCGTTCCAAATCTCCACTTCTTCCTCCCTCAATCCCAACCTTGTCTCTCCTTCCTCTTTCTCATGCTCCCAATCCTCTTCATCCACTCCTCCACCATTCCACTCTCATCCAAAATCTCCTTTATCCTCTCTTCCACTCCTCTCCCGTCTTCCTCACCTACAGCTCTACTGCAGCCCTCCAACACATGCTCCCATGTCTCTATCTCCCATCCACATACCCTGCATCTTCTCTTTTCATCCTCCTCCCAGTATCTCCCTTCCCTCATCTCATTTCCCAATCTAAATCTCGCCACTCTTCTTTTCCTCTCTTCACTCCGCTTTCCTAACCAATATCCTGGCAACCCTTCAACTACTACCATCTGGTACCAATAAGTTTTTTAGTATTTTTCTTAATATTTTTAAAGTGAAAACTTCTTTAGAATGGGAGTGATCTGAAAAGTAAATAAACGGAAACGGAGCTATGTAACAAAGCTATGTAACAAAGCTATGTAACGAAGCTATATAACGAAGATATGTAACGAAGCTATGAAACGGCTGCTATACTAAATAACGAGAGAAAAAGAGACAAACATATAGGTTTTAACCTGCGAGAGAATGAGACGGAATATAGCTGTACAGTTTTTCCTATTCTCGGTCTCCTCTTTATGCTATGCTTCGTAGTTATCGCTCCTGGTTGTATATGTGTGTGTTTGTGTGCGACTGCATACTACAAAGCGTGGACACATATTATTTCGATACTCGAAATGTTTGTAGGTAGGAGCGATAGAAGGGTAGAAGAATAAACAGAGTTAAGCACGTAGGTATGCGACAAAAGTATAAGGTCCAAACGAACCGACGGTCGAAATAAAGAAAGAAGGTGCGTGGTCTGTTTTTATTTTGCCAAACGTGTCATTTCTTTTCTATTGCAAATGTCTCTATTTTATTGAAAAATTAGTATTAAATTCTTTATTTCGCAAATATTATAATAAATAATTATGAAGTACATAGAATATATAATAATTGTATTGTCTGAAATATTAAAAAAAAAAAAAAAGGATTACCAGATACATCAGAGAAAAGAATTAGAATACTGTGAAATAAATGAGCAGCTGACAAATTCCATTCAAAAGCAAGTAAGTTACTGTCACATTTTTATATTTTGCTTCTTTATAAAATATATTTGATACCTAAAGATAAAATATGTCTATTAAATATGATTTTTATATGAAAAATATCCAAAGAGATGTACTGACCCATGCATATATGAAAATTATATTATAAATTATGATATTTGCGTATTTAAGAAACTAATACTAATTTTTCAATAAAATAAAAACATTTTTAAGATGTTGAACGCCCAGCGTGAATCGGTGGAGCTTACCACGGAGCTGTAATCTGAGACTCGTAGTGTACACAGTTCGATAAGCTGAGAGATTCAATGCATTTTTTAGATTTTTCGTTATTCAGATCTTTATTTAGACGAGAGTATTTAGAAAGAAAAGTTTGTGGTCCAAAGAATAAGGACGAGATATGTTATAAATAATGAGGGTCTCGAAGTATGGTAGGCTACAGAGTTGAAAAAACATTTCTAGAGAATATCTTTATTAGATATTTCATTGCATTTTACCAGAACCTTCGTTCAGTCCAGCAGTATTTTCCATATGTTTTTCGTAACGTCTTTATTTCATCTATCCTAAAATGTTTGTTAAATAGCGCAAGAATATAGATGAAAAAGGGGAAATTGAAAAGCATACTAACAAAAAAAATTTTATACCTGAGATTCAAAAAAAGGATTACTTATATTTACTTAATTTCTGACGAATTATATTTCCTTTGATAAACATCCTACCATTTTTGTTTCTATCTATGGCTATCGCATCCAGCATTCCATTTTTATTGCTTGAATTGTGAAAAGTGCACTTTTTATCAGCTATTCCACCCAGAGATCATACCGGTGACCTTTATTATATATAGTAATAATATTATAATAAATAAATCCTACAATTATCTTACTCTTAAAATTGTCCATTCGTCTCATTCTCTCGAAACTTAGATTTTTGAAGGTTTCACTTCTAACACGTGTGATCTGCGCACATGATTTTTTTTTTTTAAATATATATCAACCTATTATTATATATTTATAATAGTATTATACAGATTTTAAATGTTTAAAATAAGAAATAATCATTTTAAAAAATTAAATTATATAATAACAGTTTTATATTTTAATTGTTTTTTTTACAGTGTCATGTCAAGACAGACCCACCATTATAAGTCCAGAAGGAACGGAATTGATAAAAAATGCTGGTGAACCTATACAATTTTTATGCACAGGTTCTAAAAAAATTTTTTTTTACTATCCAACGAATTACGGATCAGACAAGGAAGTATCCAAAAAGGTTTTATCATCTTAATCTTTCATCATTTCATTTCTTTTTCTTTTTATGTACTTATTTTTGTTCTTCTGAATTTAAATAGAAATATTTAAGGGGACGTTCCACCCGAAGCACCCAAAAAAAAGGCTATTTTCGCGAATTTTTTCCAAGAAAACTATAAAAGATACCGATATAAAAGTTGTTGGGTTTGTTAAATGAAGTCTTAAATTGTATAAAAAGATTTTTCTTTGTTCATTTCATTTAATTTTTTGTGACAAAAACAGTAGTTGTAAAAAACACCTCAAAACTGTAGAGCTTTGGTAGCTCCATCAGAACTTGAGAACGGCTTACCTGAAACAAAAAAATCAAATGGTTTTATATTCTGTATGACTTCAGCTACAAAGTGACGCAAAAATATGAAATTTTATCAATAAATAAAAAAATGGTGGACAAATTACAAAAAACGTGAAAAATGACCTCTTTTGTTGTTGTTTTTGACTAAAAATTAATAGTAAAAATTAAAATTAAGAAAAGATTTTGCGTCACTTTGCTAAAACTCATGTGTAGAATATGTGAATTAAATTTTATAAGAATCGGTTTACTGGTTCACGAGATACGATGGAGCTAGTTTTTCAAAACGTTGTTTCGAGAAAAACGCGTTTAAAGTTTTTTTTACTCAAAATCGTGAAAAATTCTTACCTAAACTTAATCTGCGATRCYTGGACCGTACAATAGACCTTCTTCTTGTTCATATTCTTCAATTTCTTCCAGTCTTGCCTTCTTCCACTTTGATCTGGCATCTTTTGAGCACTCAAAGCTTCGACGGTTCGCAGATTCGATACATCGGTCGTCGCGTCTTTTAGCAAAGTCGATCGCTCCTGGCCCAAGTTTCATGCCCATCGTTTCCATTATCTTCATCACTGTTCGAAATCMTTCGTTAAAGATACATGCAGAAACTTTGCACGCAATTTCAACAACTTTTTTGCTGTTAAACATGTGTTTAGGTGCCATGTGCCTTAGATTTGAGGTACTTTCACCAGTCGATGGAACACTTAGAATGCTTCGGCTTGGCATCAGTCGAAATTTTGTGGTAGTATCCTGCCCAAATCTCGTTACGCATATCCTATGAAGAATTCAAATTTCTTCTGACTGCTAAACCGTAGATCTCTGAGAGTGCTTTCATCAATTTGATTGTAAATTTTTAGTTTTGACTTCAGGAACTTTTTTCACAACAGTCGTTTTTCTCTTCACTACTGTTTTTGCTACGGTTCTTATTTTTTTTTTTTTTGCGGTTCGGCGTTTTTCTTTTCAATTTTCTTCTTTCGTATGAGAGCTTTTCTTGCCTTATTAGCGCGCTTAAAAATACGTTTTGCCACATGCAAAATACACTTCAACTTTTTAACAATGAAATCTTCACCRTATGGATGATAATAAAGCAGCATTTTAAAAGTCTTGGAGTCTCCGTAGCTGATATAAGAACCGTGCGCGCCGAACGCTCAGGAAAGCGGTCCGAGGTAGTTACCTTCAGGCAGCAAAAAAATGTAGTTAGAGACATCGGATCTTTTTGAAATTTTAACACAATATTTCTACATATATATACATTCGAAAAATGTAAAAAAAAAAAATTAGATTTTTTCAAAATTGCAGAGTGGAACGTCCCCTTAAAGTAAGAAATAATTTTCTTGTTTTTTTTTTTTTTATAATTAATAGGTTATATCATCGAAAATAGAAGAAAGCAAAACTAATACAGAATTTGGAAGTACATACAATTTATCTCGACGTAAATCCGTACCTGGTGATACGGGTTGGTATGGTTGTTCTTATCACAACCGAACGATCACTCGAAAGAATTATGACGATCCCAAATTTAGTTGGGTCTACATTTACGTGGATTGTACGTAAAAAAAAAAAAAATATAGAAATATATTTAATAATATGTTAACATATTCGAAACTACGAATTTTTTCAAACACGGTTATTAGAAGTCATTTCATTTTTATTTATTGTATTGTCAATTTTACAATACCAAATTTTGTTATATATTTTTATTATATATTATATATTATATTTTTTTATTATATGTCAATTTAATAATACTAAATTTTATTTTTCTATAATTCAAAGATATTATTTATACAAAAAAAAGTTTTACTTTACTCAAAATAATTCATAATAGTAAAGTATGATTGTACACACGATGTGCAAGTGGTCTCGTATGGAAAGAAATAAAATAATATAAATGAAATAATTCTTTGAAATATTATTCGAATTAAATATAAATATTTTGCAGCACCTAACAGTTCGTTTGTCGAAAATGTGGTCGAAACTATAAAAGGAGTAACCGGTAATACGGCTTTAATACCATGTCGACCAACTTTGCCAAATTTGCAAGTTATTTTTTACAATCGATTGGGTATGGTAAGCTTTAATTTTTGATATTATTTATATATTCAATAAATATCAATTTTGTAAGTCACCATCAATTGATAGTATTGTATATGTATAATAATAATAATAATTTATTAACACTTTATAATTGATTAAATGATGCAGGTTATCGCTGTAGAAGATAATATATCATACGATCCTAAATTTGGATTTAAAATGGACCATCTTAGTTTGCATAACAATGGACTTTATAAATGTTCAATTACGAGAGATGATATAACGTACAACGTCACTTATCATTTGGATGTTTTTAGTAAGTATTTAATTCAAAATTATACACGTTGTGATTGTTTAATAATTTATTTTTGTATTTTAGCTAAACCAAAATTAATTATCATAAATGAGGAATCGTATTATTCGCATGGTGAAATTGTTGATTTTCATTGTCTCATGAAGGCTTATCCAGAACCAGAAATTTATTGGACTTTTCTACAATGTCCTAATTATCCTTCCCAGATTAATACCAGTCTCATCGAATTAAATGTAATTATAATAATTAACAGTTTTAATATGATTTTCTTATTTTCAAGTGTTTAAGAAATTGTTTCTTTTTTATTTGAAGAATAACTTGAGTGACATTATATATTATAGTGGACTAAGTATACAAAAAAGATTTGGATGAAAAGAAAAAAATTGTTTTAATGATTTAATTTACATTTATATTTTCGAATAGATCGTGAAATTAATTTTTTGTTTGCTTCCTTCATTATCATAATTTCTGACAAATGTTTATAATTATGGTTGTTTTTTTAGCATACGACTCAAATGCTATCAAGCATGTCTTATCTATCGAAAGCATCTATGAAAATTGAAATGTCTGGTATCATTAATTGTACAGCTTGTAATTCTGAGGGATGTAATTCAACTACCAGTAATGTTATGATGTCTGGTAAGTCTATTTTTTATTTTTCATATTTTATATAACATTTGATTGATTTTTTTTTTTAATTAATGACTATGATTTAACGAAATTAAATTATAAATTAATTAGAATCTTATGATTATACTTTGATTAATTTCTATTAATAATAATTATATTACAGATGGTGTCAAAGAATTTGGTATAATAGAACCTAAAGGACCAATTGTTGAAAGTGATGACATCAAAATCATTTGTGCTGCATCTATTTATAACTATACTAATAATATTTTATGGGTGGATAATAACAACAAGGCTATATCAGAAAATGGTAAGAATAAGATTTAACAAAAAATATTATTTAACAAAATAATGTATTTTTTCTAATTGACAAATTTTATTAACATATATATATTATCAAATTTCAGAGAGAATCAAAATTATTTATAAGACAACTTTGAACACTCATCGTGCAATATTGCAAATAAAGAATGTTCAACTTAATGATTCGATGATTTATAAATGTATTGAAGAAACTAAAGATGCAAAAACCATTTCTTATCGCTATTACAATTTGGTGGTTTACAGTAATTATCACAATAATAATAATAATAATAATAATAATAATAATAATAATAATAATAATAATAATAATAATAATAATAATAATAATAACCAAATATTAATAATTAATTGTAACGATTATTCATGTAACCAATTGTTTTATTTTCAGAACAAAAAAAACCTTCGTTTACTAATATGAATTTAAATGATACTGATTTGGTAATCGATTTCGGTAGAGTAAATCTCAAACCTATTATTTTGAAGTGTTATGTATATGGTATGCCTATACCACAAGTTACATGGTATAAGGTAAAAAAACTATATTTATTTATTAAATAATATATATATATATATAT